AGTATCCACAAATGCAGTGTGCTATGGTAACACAAACTGTGCAGTATGTGCCCATTCATATTTGAATATTATCTCCTGCCTATGCCAACTGCCTATCATCAATTATCATCATTCTGCAAACCATGCAAATTTCTACAATATTCTACTACATTCTACAGTATTTTTACTGTTTTTACAGCTTCATACATACATTATAATGGACTTGTGCAAAGGTGGGGAGCTGTTGGAGAGGATACGAAAGAAAGAACAGTTTGCAGAGGTAGAAGCTAGTGCAATAATGAGGAAATTAGTTTCGGCAGTGAACTTCATGCATGACAAAGGAGTAGTACACAGAGATTTGAAACCAGAGGTAAATGCATTCATTATCACATAAGTCGAGACTTTTTATACCTTGTTCACTTCACTTGTTTAAGATTTAAGGAGGGCAGGAAAAAAATTAAAATAAAATGTTGTTTCTTATTTAGCAAATAGTTTTGCCGAAAACATCTAGAGGGAGGAGAAAATACATTTTATTGGCGAATGCAAACAGTGTAGAATGTGAAGGTTAAATGCTTGAAATTTATATAATTAGAAAGAAATATACATATCTAATTTTTGGAGATTCAAGGAAGTGAGGGGTATAATAAATATTTAAAAAAACAACTTTTATTATCCATTTTTTGTGGCAGCGGGTGTGCTAATTGGTACAAAAAAAATTAAATGTTGTTTTTATTTGAAATCATCATTATTGGTGGATGGCGGGTTCGCTAAACGTGGTATAAAAAAGTCTCGCCTAATGCTAATAAATGAGTCGCTCACCACTTACAGAATGGAAACGTTTTTTCCCAGAAAGAAATATTGCTAGATTTGAACCCAGCTTCTAAAACGAAGTACACACTGTGATGGGCGAAGGTCTTTGGCTCAGTTTCATGGAGACGGCAACAGTGTGTGAGCAAGGATTCAGCTAACAGCATCGCATCGTCTAGCACTCATACAGAGATGAAATGTGTGCCTGGCTTTAGCTCTGATGTTTTGTCTTTAGTCTCTCAGTACTTTTAAGTAATTACCATATCATCACGTTAATGTGTGTTTATTGTATTATTTTCTTCTTCTGTAGAATATCTTGTTTAAAGATGATTCTGAAGATGCAGAATTAAAGATAATTGACTTTGGATTTGCACGTATCACCAATAGCAACCAGCCCCTTATGACACCATGCTTCACGCTCTCATATGCTGCACCAGAAGTTCTACATCAAATATCTCATAGGGATGAAGGGTATGATGCATCATGTGACATCTGGAGTCTGGGTGTGATTCTTGTAAGTCTACTAAAATCTGACCAGTGAAGCCAAATACAATTTTTAAATACCAAATTGAATTCCATAACTTGTTCATTTCTTTTCTTATGCTAGTATACAATGCTGTCTGGCCATGTTCCTTTCCAAGCCAAGAGGAATAGTGGCGATAACAGTGCTACTTCCATTATGATGCGCATTAAGCAAGGAGACTTTAGCTTAGACGGAGAAGAGTGGCAGTCCGTATCCGTTGCTGCTAAAGATTTAATTAAAGGTAAAGTTTAAGAAAAAATTGACATACTGCATTTCCTGATGGAACTGGAATTAAATACCAACTATATACTAAATTTAAGAGGATGCGTAGACCAATACTTGTCCAATTTGTTTTTAAAG